AGAAGAAGCATGTTTAGGCGGACGGAGATCCACCTGACACTGTGCAAGATACTGCACTGAAACAGGTTTTAGGAACCACCCACATTCCAGAGCCAGGTGCTCCCCAGCCTGCCTTCAGTGACTCAGCGGGGCCGCCATGTCATCTCCAGCCACCAACTGCAACACGAGTACCTTTGAAAGGTTCCCACCATCGCAGCCTACTCTCTGTCTCTCATCTCTCTCTCTCTCTCTCTCTCTCTCTCTCTCTCTCTGCCCTGCCTCTTGTCCTACTCCGAGACACTCCCCTAACTACTTTAAATCTGTCACATGGTGTGTCTTTGGCCCCACCCTGCTGAGGTACTCCTTCCACCACCCAAACCCTAACAACAGGGGTCGACAATTTGTGCATGGAATCTGCTGGACTGCTGATTCTGAGCTCACAGCACAGGTCTGGGTGGGGCCCAGGGATAGGTCTGTGCTTCCATCAGTGTTTCTGTCAAGGCTGCTACAGCTGCCATTCGTGGGAGCCACTGTTTGCATAGCAGTGGCTGTGGACATGCAGATTTTAGCTAATGCAGGACTTACCCAGCTGGTTAAGGAATTTATTACAGAGGATTTCAGTGACTAGGCTAGGTGTGGTGGTGCATGCCTCAAATCCCAGCACTTGGGAGATTGAAGCAGGAAGATCAGTAATTCAAGGTCATCATCAGCTACATAGTGAGTTTAAGGCTAGCCTGGTCTATAGGAGATCCTGTCTGACGGCCAGACAGACAGATGATAGACAGATAGAGATAGATAGATGACTAGCCTGACCTCATTCCTAAAGCATTGCCAAGGACTTCAAACTAGGAACAGAAGTTCAGCACTGAGGAGCAATGTCTCTTTAGACTTCTTTCTCCCCACAGGAAGTAGTTTATGATAATGGATCACAGCTCTCATCACCAACGGTTGCCTTTAGTCGATGACCTACCACCTCATGGCCCTGTAACCAGTACCTGTCTTCCCCTTCTTCCTTAATAAGCAGGTTTTTGTTTACAGAACTTTACCCCGGCCTTTTGTTGGGAGGGGTAGAAGGTGACGGCTTCTTTGAGGATAATTTGTCAAAGAGGACTTACTGGGCTGGGGACATGGCTCAGTTGGGAAAGCGCCTTTCTCTCAAATGAGAGGACCTGAGTCTGGGTTCCCAGAACCTGTGGAAAAAGCAGGGCATGGTGGTGTGTGCCTGTAATCTCAGCAAAGGCAAAACAAGAGACAGAGACAGGTGCATCCTACAGGCCAGGCTAGTGGCAAAGTCTTAGGCCAGTGAGAGATCCGTCTCAAATACAGGATGGAAGGCACGGCACCCTGATCCTACAATCTACTGTGCACATATGTATCCATACCCTCTCACAGGCACTTGGAGGATTTACCAGATGATCAGATGATCTTGCTTCTAGGCTAGACCCCGTGAGTAATGGCGGGAACTTTAGAAGCCATCTTGGACTATGAGGAAACCTTAAGGATAAAAGTCACATAAGAGTTAGGTAAGGCAGAAATGGATCTGTGATGCACAGCGTCATGGAACCATCATAGAAGCCTTTCCCAGTCTATCTCTAGACTTCTCTGATATTAAAAACAGATCTCAATTTGCCTAGTGTCAGGTGACCCTCCAGCTGTTGCTGAAGTGACCCAGCAGAGCAGATGCAGTTTATCAGGGCAGGCAGTTGAAACTGTCCAAGCCAGGTGTGGTTGTCCCAGGCTGAGGCCGGCAGAACTGCAAGTTTGAGGCCTGCCTGCGCTATGGAATGAGTTCAGAGCAGCTCAGGTTACTGAGCCCCTAGCTTTGTTTTGTTTTGTGTGTGGCCCTGGCTGTCCTGGAACTCGCTCTGTAGACCAGGCTGGCCTGAACTCAGAGATCTGCCTCTGCCTCCTGAGTGCTGGGATTAAAGGCATGCACTAGCACCGCCTGTTCTGAGGTTCTGTCCTAAACAGTATAAAGAAGTGCTGGTTTTGTGGCTCAGTGGTGGAGTACTTTAGGATCAACCTAAGTTCAACACTGAGTAAAAGGACCTAGGTTCAAGCCCCAGTATTGAAGGAAAGGATCCAGGTTCAGTCCTCAACACTGAGTAAACGGATCTACATTCAAGCCCCAACACTGAATAAAGAAAGCATGTGTCCAACTGTCATCTTCCTAATTGTCCTTTGTAGGTCACTAGTGGGTCTGGGAGCCAAGGGACTGGACTGGGTCAAGAGGCTGGAGTTCATGTAGCTCTGCTGTCCTGTGTCCTGTCAGCCTAAGTCCCCTGGCCTGTGAAAGGGGGACAAGGAAGAGAGGTGACCAGCGCAGTGTCCCAGTGCAGAGCTTCATGCAGGGCTTCATGAGACCCTGTCTGAAGGGAGAAACAAAAGAGCTGCAGTTACTTCCTGACAGAGGGCTACTGAGGGCGAAGAATGCCCTCACCCTGATTGCGCCCCTGGTGGCAACTTCTGCAGGCCCAGCTGGCTTGACTACGACTTCTTCCAGGCATTCAGCAACTTGCTTCTCTCTTCTTGCCATGGCTGGGACTCATGCAACACCAGGACCTTGTTCAGCATTACATTTTTGGCAGGGCATAAATATCGCTGGCTGTCAAGGCCTTTGAGACGTCTCCGTGGACAAGAATCTCATCTCAGTTTCAGGATGTCAGTGAGTGCATGGGGTGAGGGGCTTTCCTGAGTCCTGGTGTTCAGCTATAGCTGCACAGAGGGACACCTCTGAAGCCAGTCCTCAGCATCTGTAGAGACCAAGCCAGGAGGCATGATGTTGAAGTTACCTCATTGCTGCAAGGGGGAGCAATGTTTTAGGTATTACAAGAGCACTTGAAGAGGACAGCGTCCTAAAACAGTTGCTCTCCTGGCCCATCCATGGCAGACAGGGACAGAAGACTCACTGGGCGATGCTGGTACTTGCAAGTGACCTGATGGATGAGCCCTAGAAGGACCTGGTAAGAGCGCTTTTCTTAGGACTCAGCTTAGTGTTTTAAAAACTACTGTATTGTTGGGCATGGTGGCACATGCCTATAATTCTAGCACTGAAACAGGAGGATTAGCTGGGTTGCACAGTGAGTTTCAGGCCATGCTGGGTTACAGAGTAGGACCATATCTCAAACAAAACACCTTTCAAAACCTCAACCCACCCCTGTATCTGACTCTCTAGGGATGTTTAAGAACATGGAATGTAGGCTGAGGAGACAGCTCAGGGAGAAAAGTGTCTGCTGTACACACATGGAAAATTGGGTTTGCATCTCTAGAAACCACATAAAGCTAGGTGTGATTTGTCATTAAACCAATGTTTCTACAGTAAGATGGGAGGTGGAGACAGGAGAATCCCAGTAAGTTCAAGGACCACCTAGCCTAGCATGTGCAGCAACCAACAACAAAATAACCTGTCTCAAATAAGGTGGAATGTGGGGATACCCAACGTTGACCTCTGACCTCCACTCATGCTCATTTTACACACATGATAAAAAACACAGAATTCAAAGACCTCACTTTGAAGATAAGGAAATAGAAGCATGGAGAAATTAGGTGGCATGGGCTAGCACTACTGTCACTTAGGGAAATGTAAAGAGATACAGAAATGGAGACACCAGCTGCCTCTGCTTGGCTAGAACCCATAACCAGACCCTTCATTCCCATGATTCTTCCCTCCTGCCAGGTACAGCTCCTTTGGAACTCTTTAAAAATCTTTTCCCAGCCCTTTATACCCACAGAAAACTACATCCAGGTTCTGCAGGTGAGACTTATCAAAATCCAGAGAGCTGTGGGAGAGGGGAAAGGCAGGATGAGGGACGCCCTGGGTAGAAGGGGAGAACTTTTCTCACTCACAGTGCTGCCTGGAGCCTCTCCTGCTTGTGCTTCTCTGCCTTCCTGGGAGACATGAAGCCTGGAGCCTTACCTCCGTCTTCCGGCAGCCTCCTTCCATTCATGTGGCCAGACACAGCAAGCAGCCTGATCTCTGAGGCCTGCATCTTAAGTGTGGTTCCTAGCCCAGCTGTAGCACAGGCCCTGGGAGACTGCCCAACACAGGACTCCCCCTGCATCCAGAGTTACTGACAATTGTGAGTCAGCAAGAATCCTCTACAAGGCTCAATGCACGCAGTCCCTTGCTGGGCTTCCTTCCAAGAGTTGCCTTCTCACATTGCTGGGTCCAGAGTGTGAGACCCGTCAGCTTCTCTCAGGCAAATGGCAGCCCTCTGCTTCCCCAAAGACAGCCTAGTAAAAGCAGAGGGTCGTGTGAGAGAATGCTTGCTTTGTTGGATACTCAAGCCCTCAAGAAGCAGGTGTATATACAATTGTCTGTCTGTGGGATTCCAGGACCATTCCCATCTCAAATCTGGGGATGATTGAGTCTCTGGTATAAAATGGTACAGTATTCCCCTGTGAGTTTTAGACAGCCTTCCTTACGCTTGAAATGATACATTAGTACCTGATGCAATGTATTTGTGAGGGTCAGTAGGCATTATACTGTATGGTTTAGGAAACGATGATAAAACAAGTATGTGTTCAGTACAAATGAAATCACTCCCATATTTTTGATTCAGAGGTGGTTGAATTCCCAGATACAGAGGGCCCACTGTTCTTATAGGCAAAGAAACATATATAGCTTTTGTTTGGATACAGAGGCACCCCAAAGACCCCTAGGTTATAAGCTGCCTGATACCTATACTCCCAAGACCTCCGAGTGACTTACCTAAAGGCTAATTCATATTCACTCTCCCAAGACTGTTCGGGGATAGAGGATTGGGAGATTCTTGAAATGTCAAAAATGGTGGAGGACACAAATGTTCTAGAAAGCTAATCAACATGCAGCAGTGAGCAGTGCCACTCCCACCCCCAAACTCTGCCAGAAACATGAGCTTGCTGGGCTCCCCGTAACTGGTGACCTCCTTCCCTTCCCCTCTGCCAACCCTTCCCCAGCCCAGCTATTTCTATTTTTGTTGGTTCCTACTGATAGGTGATAAAACAACACAACAAAGCTTTTTTTTTTTTTAACTTTTTTTTTTTTTTGGTTTGTTTTTAAAGAAACTGCATACATCATCAGAGAGAAACAATAATTTAAATACCATGCAGTTTCTGTATGTACAAAACCTAGGCCACAGAGATCCAGTTTAATTTATATTCTATGTACAGCATCTTCCTCATACAGCCATCATCTGTTAAGTTAGAACCCGGGAGGGCATGGATCGACGGTCACCACACACACTCATTCCTATACAAAGACAAACTATGTACAGACACCAGGAAGCAACTGGAGAAAGCAACCTGCTTGGGGAGGAACAGACTCATGGGAGGAACAGACTCATGGGAGGAAGAAGTCATCAGAGACCCCTGCCCGCTGGCTGTGCACAGGGAGAGCCTGGGATCCCATTTATCTGAAGCGACACACCACGAAGCTCATTCCAAAAGTACAAACGTGTTCATAAGCAGGAGAAAAAGAAACTCGAAGCGTCTCCTCACACTGACTGTCACTTGGTTTGGTTTCTCTTTCTGGCAGAAAGGCTCATGTTCTAAAAACTTGGCAGGGCTTAGGGGGTGTCTGGGGAATGAAGTGGTCAAGATTTTGAGAAAGCCAGCTTGTCAGTGGCAGGCCCTCCTGTCAGGAAAGTGACGCTGGGACAGGGTTCAGCAATGCCTGATTTTGAGAGAAAACCATAAGGTCTGATGCATTTCATTTTCTCCTTTCTTGCTAACCTGAACTCCACAGTGCTCAGATTGGAACATATAGGCTCAAGATGAACTCACTTGAAAACTGTAACTTTTTCAGAAACGGATGTTTTAAGCCATCTAGCTCTTTTTATTCCCCCCTAATTAGTGTCAAATTGTCAACTTTGGAAACAATTCAAGTCACTCCAGTTGTCCTAATAAAGTGGGAAAAACATGTGGTTACAGCTCCCTAAAGACTCCAGGTTTTCAGAAGGAGAGTGAAAGTGCCAGCCTACAGCTGGGGAGGCTGCTGAGCCGTGGTGAGAACCACGTAGAGTGGCCTTTAAATAGCCAATCCCCAAAGGAGACGACCTTTTAGGAACGTGCACGGCACACCCCTAACTGAGTAAGTGACTTCTGCCCAAGGGTGCCGTGCAGGAAGTGATGTGGACATTCTGTCCAATTTCTTCCATATATGAGAGAAGGGCCATCCCAGGGCATGCTTAAGGGAACAGTGAAGGCCGCTGGCTGGCAGCGGGGAGATAGCCGAGTGGGGACTTCTGTCCCCAGGCAATCAGAAGGGCCCTAGAACCAAGGCCAGCAAAACCATGGGCCTTTTCAGGAGGAGTTCCTTAGGGCTCTTCTTGGCTGGGGAAGGCCTGTCAGGCCAGACCACCACAGCAGCCCGAAGCAAACCTGCTGCTTAGAGGAAGTACAGACCTCAGGCCTGGCCAGGCAGGGACCTCCACCCCAGACATGTGCCTACCCTCTAACCCTAAGGAAGTTCAAGAAAAGATTTCTGCATTTTTCTTCCTACTGTGTGCACATTCAAAAGTCAGTAAGCCTTTCGGGAAGACTGTGTTTACAGCCACGCTAAAAATCCCCACCGCATTTTCCCTGAATACCTCTCTGAACATTCAAATCATAACAGAAAGACCCAGCAATGGAGTTGTCTTTGGGCTGGACAGAGGCGTGCTCCATCCAGACAGTGCCAGGAGAGCAGCAGCTGTGTGGTGCTACCTGTAGGGCTGACCTAAGCTTTCCTTTAACTCTGGTTCCTGGGTTAGCAACTGGCCACAGGCCACGAACGCTCCAGAGAATTGCATGGCCTCACTACAGGCACTAAGAGCAACATAACCTCACCTAGTGTGACAAGGGGACAACTCCTTTGTGGCTAGCCAAGCTTGGCTAGCCTGTATCTTCCTAAATCCCGGGTGTGTTGTGGAGTAAGCCCTCACCTATTGAAACCATGATGACTCTGAAAGCCGAGCACACCACAGGGGTTGGGGCAGAATTTTGCACCCAAGGGTCTGTGAGCTTGTTTAGGAAGGAAAACAGTGCTGCAAAAGGCCTCCTTAGGGTCTGGGGTGCACTTTCCTCAGTGTGCACACAACCATTGGGGCCCTCTCAACAGGGCAGCTGGAGGCACATCCTGAGAGAAAGAGAGTGAGAGGAGACAGGGGCTCTCTCTGGGTAACTGAAGCAGCCAGGGACAGCACAGACAGTCATGGCTGGTAACTTTTGGCCCAGTGCTAGGCCTCTGAGACATGGATCTCTCTGCAGAAACTCTTAAGTGCCAAGCCAGAAGAGTGGAGGCATCTGCAGAGGCAGTGAGACATTGGTCCACGGCACTGGCCTCCATGCATTGGTACTCAGAAGCTATTAATGGCCAAGCCACATCATCACTGTCCCAGGTGTGTTACAAGGCCAAAGAAAAACATGAACCATAGAATTTCTGACCCCAGCCCCTGGTCAGCTCATACCTTAGCAATGGCATTTATGAATGGATCACCCATGGCCCTCGGCTTTCCAAACATAAGCCGGTCAATGAATGTGAACTGAACAGGCAAGCCACTATCCCTACCAGAGTCTCCTGGAAGGCAGCTCGGGTTTGGGCAGGGGATCAGAGTAGATGTTCAGTTCTAGCTTCCTATGCCCACAGTACACATGCTTATGATCAAAACTCCAGCACAGGCTCCCCCAAGACAAGGCTGGAGGGTGGGAGGGTAAGGTGGGGGGGACTGCGAGAGGTCACCCCCTTTCCAGCACTGCCCTCTTCAAGGGCCTCCAAAGTAGATGCCCCCCTCTGAAGCCGGTGCGTCTGACCACGTCTGGAAGGCCAGCTGGATTACGACTGCCACCTAGCCACTCCCATGCCAAACCCACTGCCCTTGGCTTCCTTGGACTCAGGCATCAGTCCCTTGTGAGGAAGAGGTTCACCGAAGACTGAACTGATGTGGTGCCTGTTGGGTCTGGATGGAGGGGACAAGGCAGCCCTGGACAATCCTCAGGTAGGTCCCTGCTGGGGCCTGGGACACTTTTCCGCAGCAGAAGTGGTGCCAGCAACTCTGAGTGGTGGTCACCATGGCGTTCCTGCACATAGAATCCTGATTATGTTCTCTTTTGTTTCAGCTTCTTTTTTTCTTTTTTCTTTTTTTCTTTTTTTAAAAAGGCAGTTCAGATTTACATCGTAACAGGGGAGTGGACAAATGCCAGCACTTATGGTTCTTATAAATTTATGTTTTGAAGACAGCAGAGCACTCAAGAGTAATACCACTGTTAAGGTCGATGAAACCTGGGAAACAGAGAACTTCATCAAGACGGAGGCCCAGATCCCCACAGCAGCGCCTTCCCATCCTGAGAAACCCTGGCTGACGGTGACATGCCAGGATGACCTCCCGCCCGTGATACATGATGAAGACACAGATGGGCTCCCCACGTATTTGAATGCCACAGAATTCACCTAGGGACCTGAGAAAGTTCAGCTTGGAGTCTTCGGAGGTCCAAACTGGGTGGCTCCACTAGGATTCCTGCATGGCAGCAAGATGGAGGTCCTAACGATGTGTCTGAGTCAGGCAGTGCATTGATCAGCCCTGCTTTCCCACATGTTCTCCAAGGAGACACTGGAAAGCCAGCAGCTTACTAAGTAGCCATGCCCACACCTTTCTTTCTGTGTCTCCTTTTCCCCAAGTGAAACCAGATGGGACTGTGTAGAAGAATAGCACAGGACAATAGAATGCTCTTTAGTGGTCCTGTGTGCTATTTTGGTATTCTGCCCAGGTTTGGACTCTGCTGACTATATGTTGGCCACACTCTCATCACCCCAGCTTCAGATTTTATAAAAACTCACTTTGGGGTTGTTCAACAGTTGTCCGAGTTTTCATTGGAGTGAACTGAGCAAATTAAAGAGCAGAAGGTGACTTTTTGCCTGGGCCTTTAACATTTTAACATTTGTTGCCTAAGGTTTTGTTTTTTTGTTGGCCTACAACTCCCTATGTAGACCAGGCTGGCCTCAACCAGCGATCCATGTACCTCTGCCTCCCTGGCGCTGGGACTAATGGTGTGTGCCATCACACAAAGCCTCACTGCTCTTGTTTTATCAACTTAAAGGTAGAACTCGATGCTGATCTCTGTCTTATCTTCTCCCATCTTACCCACAAAGAAACTTGGCAATCTAGGACAAAAGTTTATTTACTTGAAAGTCAACATTGTCAGACCTGGGCATGGTACACACCTGCCAAGCTAGCACCCGGGAGGCATAGGCAGGAGGATTGCTCTAAGTTCCTGGGCTATGTAGTGCGAGTCAAGTCAGCTGTGTCTCAAACAAAAATAAAGTAACATCAAAAACGGGAAAACAAATGTGGTCACGTGGTGGTGGAACATACAAGCCGGACGCCAGCAACACTAACCTTGTTAAGTGTCTACTTAACTCATGGACCTCCATTTCAGTGCTTTTAAACTCATTGAGTTCCTTCCGAATGGCAGCCTAGAAGAAGAGCAGCCGGTCAGTATGCTGAAGAGGGAGAAAGGCCTCCCCGTTAGACATGTCTAACAACAGGTTTTTTCTTACACAAAAAAATTTAAAAAAAAAGTTGTCCTGGGGGCATTCTTTAAAAGCTTCCAAGGTTTCTCTTCTTTGGGTACATCATGAGGGTCTAATAGGGCTGGCCATGTTTTATAAGCTCTCCGCACCGAACTCTATGCCTGCCATGGGGCTATGGACGGCACACACAGTGACTTTGACTTCACCTCTGCCTTGCAATTCTCCCTCCAGGTGACAGGGGAGGTGTCTTGACATAGAGAGCCAGTGATAAACCTGTAGGCTCATGTTAAGAATGGCTCTGGGGGCTGGGTGTGGTGGCACATGCCGTTAATCTCAGCCCTCAGGAAGGCAGAGGCAGAGGCAGTCGGATCGCTGTGAGTTCGAGGCCAGCCTGGTCTAAAGAGAGAGTCCAGGACAACTAAGGCTACACAGAGAAACCCTGTTTCGAAAAACCAAAAAAGGACAAACTGAAGTTTATGTCAGAACTCTCTTCTCAATGCCATGGAACTGAGTAGTCATGGGGCCTTTCAGGGGCAATCAGAATCAGTTAAAGGACGCATGGAGGCTTACAAAGTAAGACTACTTCCTATGTTTTCTCTCTGGCATGTGTCCATTTCCCTGATTTATGTCCCATTAGGGAGCAACCAGATGAGGCTGCCTGACCTTGGGCTTTCTGGATCCCAGAATCTTTAAATAACCATTCTAAATAAAATTATGAAGCCTCAAATGTTCTGTTACAGCAACAGCAAATAGATCAAGATACTGTCTTTTCTCCTCCCGGGAAGCAGGCACTGTATCGTGTCCCGTGTTCTCCAAGTGAAGAACAGAATAAGGTTTTCCCACTCATCTCCTGGAGTGTTCCTGCCAGCAGTGAGCAGCCTTGAGGATGCAGCCTTTTTAGGGTAGGGCTGAGGCAGGGCTCCCCTTTCTCACCACCTCCGCTTACTTTGTCTGCAGCGGTGAGGCGGGTCCATGGCTTGTCTGCCCTGCGGTCATAGTCCTGGGCATCTGCCACCTCCACGTAGTCACTGAATCGGATGAGGATCTTCCTCTCCCGGAGCTCTTCCACGGTGGGCCTTTGACTGAGCTGCAGGGAGGCAGGAAGGTGGGGGTCAGTCACCAGAGGACTTTAGACTACCGCTCCATTTGTGAACTCGTAGGTGTGGAAAATGAGCCCAGGAAGACAGTCGATATATTATATAACAAGATGGAGTAGGGAGCAGAACCCAGAGTGCTCAGCTCTGGGATAATGAGAGCTTTATTGTCCCTTTAAACTCCTCAGGCTTGTGCGGGTGACAACAGCTTGTCCTTCTTTATTAGTTTGCTGTCTTGGCCTGATGGCCTGGCTGTCTGTGGAGCTGTGAGTGCCTGCTGTGGATTTTCTGTCTGTCCTTCACCCAGTGGGAGGCGGGAGCCATAAGCAATGATACCATCTAAACTTGGATTGGTGAGTGCACATCTGTGTCTTAAATTTAGTGCAGTCTGCAGGATGGGTTTGTGACACATTATATGTGTATGTGCACATACATGTTGCGTAGACACACATATTTATGTGTGTCTACACATGCGTATATGCTACCATTTGGAAATGGTAGCAGCCTCTGGAGTATGAGGGGGATAGATTGATTTAAGCATTTGTAGAGTTTCTTCCAGAAGGTCATCAGTAAGGTTAGTGAGCCAACACAGAGCTGAGCAAGGCCACACTTACACCATGGCGAACAAGCTTTCTGAGGAAGGAGGAATGAAATCACATTTATTTAGCCATCTCCTGGTATTCTCCCTGAGCACCCTTCCTCTGTCCTTTAACAGCATAAAGCTGACATTTCTATTATCTTTCCCTGTCACAGGCTTATTTCTTCTGGAGCAATACAACCGCTCCCCTTACGACACTGTCAACTCATGTTCAACCAGCGTTATTTAAAAAGTCTTTCCTCCTAGCCCTCTACTGTTGGCTGCTATTAATAGAAGAGGCAGTCAGATAAAGTCTTAGGGCTCTGGCCTATAAAACAAACAACAAATCCAAATTCCTCTGGCTATGTTGACTGCCACGCAGCTATCTGCCTGATGCCCTTGGCTGGAGCTGGAATGTTTCAGTGTGCTGCTGCCATGGTACAATGGGATTGCCATGAAACAGGTACCTGGTGGTGAGAGCAAGGGCAGGACTGTGCAAGCCTCTGTGGCTCCCTCTCAGCTAGAGAGGAAGCTCCAAGGGTCAGAGGTTAGTGAGGATGGAACTGGCCCATGCCTAGACCCTCGTGCCATTTTTTTTCAGTCTGTCCTGAGGTACTAGGGGTTTTCTGAGGGCTGGACACCAGTATCTTTGTGTGTGGCTAAGATTACTAGAAATTAAAACACTGGCCATCTTGGCATCAAAATGTTCTCTTTGAAATATGAAAGCTGACAGAATTTGTACTGAAGTAAAATAAATAAATAAATAAATAAACAAACGAACACCTTTTTTTTTTTTTTTGCCGTACTCACACCAGATAAATACACAATTACACTCTCCAGTTTGTGTAATCCAGTTACCTCAATTTTCTATGTTTGCTACAACCTGAGCAAGGTTCCTAAGCCATGATTTTTGAATTTATCTTCCTGGAAACCACACACTGGGCTGAGTATAGTGTTTCAAACCTTCAATCTCAGGACTCAGGATGCTAAGGCAAGAGGATCTAGCGTTCAAGGCCAACCTAGGCTACATGGTGAATTCACGGGTAGTTTGTGCTACCTTAGCAAGAGTCTGTCTGCCCCCATTCTCCCACCCCACCAAAGTAAATGAATAAACAAACTGGTTTGGGTTGTACCAGGTGCCCATCTAGGAGCAGAACTGGAGAGAACAGAAGACTCAATAATAGACATGTTCAGGGCAGGGCTGCTTCTCATGCCCCAATCCCGTGTTGCCATCACTTTAACTCAAATCGGCATGCTATCATGCTCATGTTCTGGAAGTGGACAGGAGATTGTTGTCTTGGGGTCTTGCGTGGAATGTGGACCAGATGCCAGGCAGGCCCTGACAGAGCTCTCTTCTAGTGCTGTGGTCTCAGAAGCTGCACACCTAGACCTCCTTGCCCAAAGCCAGAGGTCCTTCCTAGATACCGAGGAGACAATCTCTGTGGCTAAAGTCCAGTTATCTGAGGAAGTTGGATGGGGAGAAGTGGCATTTGTGTTAATCTGTGCAACCAGAAATTTGAATATAAAATTGAGCCAGTTAATTGTGAGACCTATTTCACACAGAAATACAACCCAAACCCCAAGTGTACCATTCCCTCCCCCCCCCATAATGTATACATGTCTGCTTTCAATTAGGGAGCTGCCCTTTCTTGGGGTTTGTGGTGGTGGCAATGGATCCTAGGATCCTGCACATGGGAGGTGAACACTGTCATTGTGCTACATTTCCAGCTCTCAATTCCTTGTTTGTTTTGTTTTTGTTTTTTGTTTTGTGAGAGGAGAGACAGGCATTTATTTTTAGCACCTAATTTTTAAGTTTTCAATTTAGTTACAGAAAATGATTTGTTCTGTTGGTTTCAACACCAGCTCCTGTGTTTTTATTTTTTTCCCTCTAATATATTAAAATTCAGTAGCATTTGATTAAGGAAATCTGAGGGCTGAGGCTATACACAGTCACCAGCTCTGGCATCTGGTTTTGGTATAATAAAGGCTCAAGGGAGAGGCATTTGCCCAGAGCCAGGGTAGGTTGTATATTTCCCACTTTGCAGGTGGGCACCACAGCGCTCTGCAGACCCCAGAGAAACCAACTTCCGGCTTCCACTTTTCCCTCAGTCTCCTTCCTGAACAGTCAGTCATTCCTGCCCTCAAGGTCACTACTTCAACTCCCAAGGAAAGCCTCAGGGGACTGGAAATGCTGGAATTAAAATTACAAGGCTATTCCCCTGCTGGGGGTCAGGGTGAGGTGAGGTGTGGGTGGGTGGGCGGTGGAAGAGACAATGATGGAACTGTAAAATCTAGGGGCTGTCCGTGGGTAAGGTTGTTAGTGTCATCATCCTGGGAGAGAGAATTGTGGGAAGCAAAACTCTTGCCCCCTCCACTACCACACTATGCACTTAAGAGTCAAAGTTCTGTCTGCCAGAACATACAATCTTTTCTTAAGAGATAAGACTTGGATAGATGTCTAAATAATCTCCTTCCTTTTTCTTTTCCTTTTTTCTTTCTTCTTTCTTTCTCTCTCTTTTCTTTCCTAATTCCTTCCTTCCTTCCTTCCTTCCTTCCTTCCTTCCTTCCTTCCTTCCTTCCTTCTCTCTCTCTCTCTCTCTCTCTCTCTCTCTCTCTCTCTCTCCTGAGACAAGGTCTTACTATTTCGACCACCCAGGTTGGTCTCAACTTGCTATTGTACCCCCGGCTGGCCTTAAACTCACAGCAATGCCCTTGCCTCAGACTTCCAGAGTGCAGGGAGAGGAGGCATGAGCCACCATGCCCAGCTGATGTTTAAGTAATTTCCCATAACTACCTTTTAGTAAGCAATCTTACATGTTTGGAAAATCTAGGCGTTTCAGCTATCAGTTCCAATGAGCTTATTTGAACTGTTTTCTAAATGTCTTTGACTTTCTGTATTAGAAGTGAGGCATTCATCTCCTTTTCATTTGCTGTCATGTATTCTCCTCCTCCCCATCCCCCTTACCCAGCCTCATCAGTGAATGCATGTTTCCACCAAGATGGGGGTAGGGAGGGAACCAAAACCAGTCTATTCAGCTCCTATTCTTATCTCCCTCAGTGTGATGCCAGCTAGCCATGCCCCCATCCAGGCCCTTATTTCCTTTAATTAGTTTGGCATTTGGCTTGCCATCAGTGTTTGGGATGGTTTTGGGGGAAGAGAGTGTTGAGAAACACAAATTACCTCCTGAATAAGTGGCATGGCCTCTCAGGGCCTCTGAACCCCATCCTGTTTGTACTATTTCCAGGGAGGAAAAGTCACTAAGGAACATCTTTAGAATTAATTTTAATGGGTCTCTTCACCATCTTTAAGACTGAGTACCCTTTTTTCAAGATGGCCACTGCAGGGGGCTGATTGAAAACACTTTAGGCAGAGGGAGGGAGTGTTATATCCTGTGCACCATCAATTAATTAAACTTTCAACAGGACCCAAGAATAGTTCCAAGTTTGTTATTCAAGATTTTTTTATTTTCCCTCAAGAGGGCCACTCATGTTTCAGAATATCTGTGTGTCTATACAGCATGGCAATATCCTCTATTTGGTGGTGGTGGGGTAGTTAAAATGTAGCAAAATATCCAGCTGCATGAGTTTTAAATTTTTTTCCCAAACATTTTCACTAAATGAATCAGTACTTTTGGTATTTTTCTGATCCAATAATCCCAATTGAATTTAGCAGAAGAAATTCAAATAGTTTTAAAAATTCAACAGATAGTAACGAGGAATGAAGAAAAGTCATGATGTCCTACGACCATAGCAAAAGATAGTATTATATTTAAGCTACCATTTTAAACTCTTTTTTTTTTTCTTTGACAAAATGGCCCACAACTCACTATGTGTGGCTCAGGCTAGCCTTGAACTTGAGGTGATCTCAGCCTTCTGAATGCTAAGATTACAGACACGATTCATCATGTCCATAGTGAGCTACCAAATTTTTCTGGAGATAGGGTTGCACTATGTAGCTCTGGCTGAACTGGAACTCACTCTGTGGACCAGGCTGGTCTCACACTTACAGAAACCCACCTGCTTCTGCCTTCTAAGTGCTGGGACTGAAGGTGTGCGCCACTGTGCCTAGAAATCTTTTATTTGGTTCAATTACTAATTTTTATAATGACCTTCCAATGATGTGGTGGGGTTAAAAGTACACAAATCTATTTTTTTAACTTATTTTCACGTATATGGGGGCTTTGTCTGCAGTTATGTCTGTATATCGTGTGTGTTTCTGGTACCCGCAGACGGCTAAAGAGTTGGATTTCCTGGGACTGAGTTATAGCTTAGTTGACTAGCATCCCCAAGAAAGGTGTTAGGGTGTCTGAGCACTATGGGCCTGGTGGGGTTTGCTTCAAAGTCCTCAAGGGTCCTACAAGCCAAGGGCTGGTAAGTAACTTTGGGCAGAGGGAACTGTCTTACCTTGCGAGTCAGCCTCCTCTTGATTTCCCGTTTCTCCTCCTGCTCTTCTTGTTCGTTCCGAGCTGAAAATATACGGTAGGGGCTCCTGATTACAGGGCATGGCATCCCCCATACCCAGGTGTGACCTCCGATCTTTACAGGTTCTAGTCCAAGCACTCAAGTCCCATTCCCTTTATGCCTGAAGGGACTGGTCTCCATCTCCCTGCAGCCTTCCAAATTGGTGGGGAGTGGGTTGGTTGGCTGACTTTTTTTTTTTTTTCATTATTGTTCTCTTTATGTCTCCAGGGGATTGGGGTCCAGGCAGGGATGATGAGATGAGCAGCACGACCCTAGGCCAAGGAGGTGTGTTTGAGATATGTGGGAGCGCTGTTGGCAGTGATGAACATTTGGGGAAAACCAAGGACACCTTGAGGAAGTTGTAGACCCTAGGCCCCCTTACAGCCCAGAGCCCTGGAGGGCAGGAGAGAGGATATGCCTCTACCCACTGTAGGACTGACATGGGGCAGAGTCAGCTGCAACCTGAAAGGCTGCTTGTAATCACTTCAGAACTCCCACTGTGTTCAAGCCCTGATCCCATTAGTTCTTTAAATCTTCCAAGAAGTCCAGAGAACATGCGTGAGGCCACAATGTCGGCTAATCTTGCCTTTGTTTGGACTTGGAAGCAGTGTCTTAGGAGCACACTTTGGAGACCAAAAATTTTGGCATCTGGCTTGTCTGAGTTTAAAGAGCCAAAGTAAGGGTCCCTGGAAAGGAGTAGGGAGAAGGGCAGAGAACTTGGGCCTTTTCTCTGTCTGAGCTAACTGAGTGAGCATACACAGAGTATCATTTACCTTCTGGGCCTCGGAAGGGTTCCTTGGTCTCTGTGGAAGCATTCATCAACATGGTACCATCTGATTTGAAAAATACCATGAACGCCAACTAGTGTCACAGAAGGCGTGAGATCCTCAGCCGTGGGGGTTAGGGAAACATCAGCAAAAGTAAACTATGGGTTGATTTGGGGACAGTGTCCATTTCGCTTGCATGGGAAACCTCTGTTCTTATTTTGCCACTGAGGTTGTCAATGTTTCTGCAACTTCATTATTTTGTTGTAGTGGTACATGATTGTAATTTGTTATGGCTTCTAAAGGTCTCAGTATATGGGATGGGTCTTTCAAAGAAAGACATTCCAGTGCATAGAAATCAAGGTGAGGAGTGCATGATAAATAGTCCTACTTTTGGGGGCTGGAGAGACAACTGTTCTTCCAAAGGTCCTGAGTTCAATTCCCAGCAACCACATGGTAGCTCACAACCATCTATAATGAGATCTGGTGCCCTCTTCTGGCATGCAGGCGCACATGCAGGCAGAATACTGTATAAATAATAAATGAATAAATCTTGAAATAAAGTAGTCCTACTTTTCCCCTCGCCACCCTAGGCTGTCAGCAACAGTTATAGCCAGCAGTAACCAAGGGACAGCAGTTTCTCTAGCAACAAACAGGAGCAATTCAGTACAGGACCAAGGGCCATGAGGGACATCTCCCGGGTATGATTTTGTGTCCCTGCTTGCCTGTAGGAATCAGGACTTTGTACGGGCAGCACAGGAAATACCTACTCTTCTTGTGGAATGGGCCACGAGAAACTCCAGAGTGCCAGTACCTATTTTCTCCCCAGAGTTTCCTTAAAAAACACACATTTATCTCAGCTAAAAACCTCTGATAGCATTACTATCTTAGTATGAATTAACCTATCACATATCAGTTGGGAAGCAGATAGCAAGACCTAGAAGAAGGGAAACCCAAAGACTGACATTTGGAAAATGTAAATTACTCTGTGTTAAAAATCTGAGAAACTAGCCAGCCATTAACATCAGTCTACTGGAGGCTCAAATGGAGGCAGACCCCAGGCAGCTAGCTATGCTTGTAGGGACTGGGAGGAAGGAGAGAAAGAAGGTAGCCTTGCAGTCTGCCCTAGAGTTAGCTTGAGGGTGCCATGTTTGAAACTTAGAGACCACATAGACTCCCATTCTGGGTTTCCAAATGAGGTCATGAAAATCCCAAGGAATGAAGCGACCAGTCACACCTGACATGGCTCACCGGTCAAACCTCTGCCTTTTTCTCTTGTGACAACTTGCTTGAGGCTGGTCCTCCTTCTCATTACTGGGTCTAACCTTACTCCTGACCTACAGGCCCCATCTGAGCCATAAGGGTAGGTGTCAAAGATGACACAACATGGGACCTTCATTTCTTAAGTAGATTCTTAGGCCCTCAGAGGGGCAGGCCATTACTACCACCTATGGTGTCCATATCATTAGCTCAACGCCATTTACAAACTCAGCGTCATGAATTCTCAGGCAGAGGATACCAAGGCAATCCTACCAGGCAACTGAGAAAAAAGGCCAAGAGAGGCTGGTGATGTCATCGTCATGGTGTCCACACCCAGGGTTCATTATGTGCTCAGATGCACACAGGACCCCATTGGCTACTGAACAAAGAGGGCTAGCTTACGAGGTTGGGCAGGGTGGGGTTGTAGACCAAGCCAGGCCTCTGTCTCACCAGGTCTCCTGGCTCCTCTTCAAGTATAAAGCCCAGAAGATAAGTTTCAGAACTGATTATTTGGGGGATTTTTGCAAATACCTCCTGAAATTTCTTATATAAGAACTAAGTAGGTGCAGACTCTGGTGACATATGCAGTCCTAGAACCTGGGAGGTAGAGACAGGACCGGGGGTTCAAAGTCATCCTTGGGTATATACCAAGTTTGAGGCCCAGCCTGGGCTACTGGAGACAAACAGAAAATCAAAACTAAGAATACCACACCAAAACAACTCTCCCCCAAATAAGACCAAGACCAACTAAGTCCCACTCAAGTAGAGTAACTAATAAACACAGAAAAATTTAGAAAGGCAAAGGACAAGCATGCAGGGAAAACAGGCACATCTCTGAAAGGTTCTAAAATCCAAAGATGGCCAATCTGTTTCAATTTGGTTAGGCGTCTGAATTTGTAGCTATCTGACAAGGGAAAGGCAGAAGACATTCGGTAAAACTCAGGAACAATCACACAAATTCTCCTGTAGTCTCCCTGGGCTGGTTAGACCCAAGGAATCAACAGAAAAGCAAAAGTATCAAACAAGCAGGGGCAGCCAGGCAGCTGGCTTTGATCTTTGATCTGGCCCAGCTAAGGGTAGAAGCCAGAAGTGAGCTGGGGGAATCCTCTCTCCCTCAGCCCCACTGCTTCTGAGGGAAAGAGTATTTACAGAGACCCAAGCAAGCAAGGGCCAGTGGTATGCAGGTCTTTGTGCTCAGGTTTCAGAGCTCTGGACAGTGGAGAGCAGCGGAAGTGCTCAGAGCAGTGGAGGGCTGGAGGAAGTACGCTTATCTGATCTCTGACTTGAGGAATCAGACTTCCCTTCTCTACTTTTCAGTTCCCATCAACAATGGAAACTTTATAATGTCTGCATAGGGCAAGAAGGAAACATCCTAAAAGCCAAGACTTCCCCAATCTCAGCAATCTCTGACAAAGTTCTAGGCTAGTTACTCTACAGCAGGATACACTTAGAAAGGTTTGTTCTGAGAGAGGTTCTTGCTATAGAGCTTAGGCTGACTAGAACCCATTCTGCCACCTTTCTGCACAGTCTTCGAGGGCTGGCATTGCAGGTATGTGCCACCATGCTCTGAGAAACTTTGAAACTTTAAAAATAAACTAGAGCTGCTGAGATGGGTTCAGCGGGTAATCGTGCTTGCCACTAAAACCGACAACCTGAGTTGGATGCCCTGGACTCACTTGGTGGAGGGAAATCATGACTCCTGGAAGTTGCCCTCTGACCTCCCCATGAGTGCTAGGGCATATGCCTTTTCCCATCAATCAATTAAATAAATGCAAGAGAAAAAAAATCTACACACAGATCCCAGACACCTCACTGTTCTCTAAGGCATGCCCCAGACCCGGGAAAACTGGTCCTGAGAACAGCCTGCTCTGAGTTCGGGAGGGTGATGGCTGCCTTGGAGAAAGGATGAAGGACTCTGGGACAGGCAAGCAGAGGGACACCCACAGGGGCTGCAGAACCTGTCCCAGCCTTCCCAGGCAAAATGCAAGCATCCTCCCTCAGCAAATCACTGAGTGCTGACAGGTCACAAGACCGTTGGGAGGAGGGGTAGAAAGTGCAGTCAGAAACAAAAATTTTTAAGTGGAACTAGCCAGTCACCCAAAGCAGCAAAGTCTCATGTGACTTGTGTGTGTATGTGTGATGTGTGTGTATGTACATGCCTATAAGATACTTTCCAATATCTAATTCTTTTCTTCTTGAGAGAAATTAGAAAGGCTTTTAGGGGCTAGGAAACAAGACTCACATATTAAACTAAGCATATTATTTGTTGGTTGTGTTGGGAAAACTGGGTAAGGATGGCAGCAAGGGTCTTGGTGCATGTGGTTTGAGCTGTAAAAATCGAGCATCTACTGCTAAACTGAGGCACATCAGGCAGGATCTGGGGAATGCCGGTTTCTTTCGCTATTTTGTAGTTTTTAATCATTTTTGGGACCGCGTGGATTCTCTGTCCAAATTCAAATACACTCTGTGTCCTGAGCTGAACAAGGAGCCCATTTTCACCTCGTCCACAGCCTCCTCACAGGCAGCTTTCCCTGAATGAGCACGTCATACAAGCATGCTGCTGGCCAGGAGCACAAGATGAATGCTCACTCGGCAATGCTTTCTTCTCCCACTTGAAAGCTGGCGCTCTGGGGGCCGAGGGGTTCCTTCAACAGCAGCCAATTGTTTTCCGCTCCCCATTTTCAAATTTCTCATACACCAGTCACCAAAGCCCGAGTCACTGTCTTCCAGCCAGTTTGGGTGTAAAGGTGACAGCCGGTTCTACTTAAAAGTCACCTTTTTTTTCTGGTACGTGATCAGCTTCTCTCTTAGCTCAGGGTGGGCTCTGGCTTCAGCTGGTGAGATCCTAACCCATAACCAGGGAAGCCAGTGGCACAGGCCGCTCACTTCTCACCAAGGAAGGTGCATCCTTGGTGTCTCTAAGGCCTCCTGCAGGAGAGGTTTGCAGAGCTTCCATGGACCCCGGGAGAGACCTGGTAAGCCACGGGGAAGGCTGCCCTGGGTGTCTGTCTGGTCACCCTGGGCTTAGTCAACTTACGCTTCAGAATGTTCCTCTGCTCCAGTTCCTCCGCTGTGGGTCTCTGGCTCAGCCGCCTACGAAAAAAATCCAGGAAAAGTTTTTGGACCATGTCATATCCTTCTGGGGTCGGGGGTCTCCACGGCCCTAGCAGATACATCAGGCAGAGTCAGCAGCTGGAGTCCTCTGTCCATCCTGTGCTCTGGAGACACTGCCTCTCTGCCGGTGCCTCCTCCTTGGTTCCTCAATTTCAAGCCCAGGAAGGGCACCCTGCGTCAGGTCACGCAAAGCTGCCCTCTCTCCCTCCCTCTGCAGGCCCCTCCCCAGTCCTGCTCCTCCAGTGCCCCCAGGCCAGGAGACCGAAACTTAGCCCGGGCTGGCTTTTCCTCTTCACAGAAGTCCCTTTCTTTCTTTGTAGCCTCTTGACTGCTGGGCTGTGTGGCCTCCTGCCTTTCTCTCTCTGCCTCCGGGCTAACGCTTGCTTCTTGCTACCTTTGTGCACACCCAGAACACAGAGGCCAGTGGCCTGGAGGACATGCAAGAGAGGGTGTCTGTCTGCAGAGAACAATGGCTACTCTTCTTCCTGTCTCCACCCATCTCCACCAGAGCCTTATTAGCCATGGAATGCCAGATGAACAGGCACAGAAATGACTCTTATTACCGGGTGCATAATTAAGTCACAGAGAACACAGCATCATAGCAGCGGCAGGAACTTCTGGTGATACCATGTGAAGAAACAGGGATAGACAGGGGTGACAGGTAGTGACAGAGGTTACCAGTGGGAGTGACTCACGAGGGGAGAACCACATACTTGGACATACACAAAGTTCCGGGGCGGGGGGGTTGACGCCATACAGAATGGACCTGATTGAGAACAGGGATGTTGGTGGTTTTCAAGCTCTTGGCAGTCATTGAGCATACAGCTGTGATGGTTACAATACACAGCACATCTGCTTCACCCACTACCTATTGATAAGGTCAGCATCTGGAGTGTGCAGAAGAGTGCTGTGGAAGGAATTCTAGGCTCCTCAGACTCCTCTGCTGGGACATGACGAGTAGAAAGGCACACTTTACTAATCACACAGCTCTAGTTCACTTCCAAAATTTCTGAAACTAAGGTCCATAGTTGGCAAGATATTTCCAGCACAGAGTCTTAAAGAGAGACTTGAGAATGTGAGAAAGTCGTAAGGATCAAGATGGAATTGCTTTGGCTATGCCCTAGCAACAAGTCAAACAATTAAATCAAGCCTGGGTGCTATGGAGACTGAAAAAAAAAATCACAACCTCATACAATGGTACCAAATCTGCCCAACTGTGTAATCAGTGTTAAACCAGACAATCTTGCTATTTATTCTTGTATTAGCTAAAGGTTATTATTTTAAAGTATATAGAGCAATGCCCACTTTGCCTTTAAAAATCTTTCCCCTGCCTCGATTTCCTCAAATGCTCATAGCTTATCATGGCACCTATGTTTTCACTGCAGTGTTCTGCTGTTCCCAAACACATACATTACTGTTTGGTGACTCTGACTGTTACGTAAGACGGAGTGTGAAAACAGGAAGTCCACCAAGCCTCCAAGCATAACTACTTCAAATTCAAGTGTTGTTATTTGTGAAACTGACAGCACCTTGAAACTGTTGGAAAGTGTATTCCAAAGTGTTTTAAAGTTTGTAAGAACATTCTCACATTTATTATTCCTTTTGCTCTATAAAAGAGTTTTTTTTAACATACTATGAAAGAGTATGTTAAGGTCTTTGATCCTGTTTTCTATCAAGGAATACCTGAGCCCTGGGACTTCCCACCAAGCAGTTCCTGAATCCTCTGGGACGTCTGATATTCCAGATGAGTCTCTGCAGACTGCATGAGACTTTAAGTTAATGAGAGGAGCTAGTGTGGGACCCTGAGGTAGCCCGAGGGAACTGGCCACTGGAAAGGACATGTGATTGGAGGGCTGGAGCTCATGAAAACTTGAACAATGAGATCCGATGAGAACCTTCTAACCTTCCCCCATCTCCCTCTAGCTGCTTACCCACATCCCATTTTTCTTGTCATTATAAACTAGTCAATATAGGTATGGTGTTTTTGAGTTCTGTAAACCTTTTTTTTTTTTTTTTGCAAATTAATCAAATACTCACACTAAAGAAATAGAAAGATTGCTTGTAGAGACAGTATTTTATTTTCCAAGACTTAAAGAGGAAAGTTAAAAACAGTACGTGGACTGTGGCTGCTTAGAGCCAAAATGCTTGTGACCTTTGGGTTAAGGCTGTCAGCATTCTTCTCTCACCCCTAAACCTGAGCAGCACACCCCATAAAACCACCTTACAGTCTCAATTACAGACAGGAACTTCTTAAAGAGAAATAACTAAACCAGTTCATATTTCTAGACTTCTTTTAAAAACTGTGCTTAATCTTTTAACTGGCCGTAAATGATATCCTTTTTGGAAATCCACAGGATTTGTACACATGGCCCTTGGAGACACCTCTTCTTTTCTCTTTCTCTCTGTCTCACCACTCATTGCTTGTCTTCCCTCTCCTCACCTCTCCTCTCTTACTCTCCACAGACAGAGACACACACAGACACACACACACACACACACACACACACACACACACACACTCAGGAGCATGCACACTTAAATCTAAGATATAAGGGTCTCTAATCTCTACTTGATGAGCATGCTGACTTTACTGTACCCTGAGTCATCCCATAAGTGTTTCCGGTATGTTCAAGAACAGGCTTCATTGGGTGGAGGCCCCTGAGGGGACCCCTCTGGCTTTTAACTGAATTTCCCCAATACTCCCGACAGATTCAGGAAACAACGAGGACAGCACCTTTTCCTCAGCGTTTTCTTTGACTCTGCTTCCTGGTTCCTACAACAATACCATCACTCTTCTCAAGACCGGGTCTCCGTAGTGCATGCTGTGTATATGGCTGTGACAGTTACTATCAGCTGTCAACTTGCCAGGGTCTAGAATCATGTAGGACACAAGCTCTGGGCATGCCTGTTGAAGGTTTATCCAGATTAGATTAGTCTCTGGGTATGCCTGTGAGGGATTAGGATACTCTCTCACAGGAAGATCCCTGAGGCAAGGAGACCTGCTCTAACTGTGGGTGGTACTGCTTCTTGGGCAGAGGTCTGATACTGAATAAAAAGGAGAAAGGTCTCCTCTCTTTCTCTTCTTCCTGTTTGTAAATGCAATGTGACCAGCTCCCTCAGACCCCTGTTACCATGAATAAATTCCCTGCCATGACGTACTGTGCCTCCAGTTGAGCCAAAATGAACCTTTCCTTCCTTCAACTGGTTTGGTCAGAGCTGTGTGACAAATAACTCCTACAGCCATCCCTCCTTATCCACGGGCGATGTACTCCAAGACTCCCAGTGGATGGTAGAAACTGAGAGAGGTCTGAACTTGACATACACTGTGCTCTCCGGTGCATATTGATCTAGTTATAGCTTAATGCATGTATTAGGCACTCTAAGAAATTAACAATAATTGCTAACAAAACAATTGTAACAACGTACTACAACAAATGTTAAGTGACTGTGACCTTTCTCTCCTTCTCAAAATGCTTCATTTGACATGGGGTTTGGGGCTGATTTTGGGTAACAGGAGCTATGCAAAGTCAAACTAGGTGAAGGGGATTATTAAGCCTCAAGCTGAGAAATCCAAGACTCCTTCTGAATACACTTTGTTTTCTTTAACCCTACTTTGCTGGTAGATTTAACTAATTGTATCCGATTTAGATTCACACTAAATTAAAAAAAAAAAAAAACAACTCCTATCTATATCTGGATATTCATATGATAGGTGCCAAGGGAAATGTTCTGAGCTAAACCCTCACGTAAACTGAATTATCCAAAATTAAATACTTAGTATGCCTTCAAATGATCTTAGGCAGCTTTGCTATTATCATACATAGGACCCTGGTTTAGAGAATATCTCTGAGTTGCAAAACTGTTTCCATGACTCAGATGGTTTCTTCATGGGCCATGGCTAAATGATTCACATCGACCATAAACGGAAACACTGTCCTCCTTATATGCCTTTATGCTATCAGATGCCAGCAGTGAGCCTTACATTTTCTTTCGGAATTTAAAAGTGTACCTTGCCTTTCTTCAGTCTGAAGGTATTATCAACAAAGGACTGTAAGTAAAACAACCAAATTAAAGCAAGTTTTTCTGTTGGTGTGAAAAGACTGCAAAAAGAAAACAAAATCCAACTTCTCACCCCACTTTTTACCCCCCCCCCCCAAGAGAAACCCAAAAGGCAGGAAGATTTGACAGCAAGATGCTACAAATATATGCAGAGTAGGGAATACCATCTTTTTGAGATGCAGCCTCTCTCCAGAGAGGTGATAAAAACCTTGTAAGGTTTCACTAGTCTGACTCCAAGAGGATCAGTTCTGCAGCACAGAGCTCTTGAGGGTTCTTTGCCAACAGAACATCAGAGCCACAGCTTTCACCAGCATTCACAGATGCCTATTGTAGGGAGAGCCCTGATTCTCAGGTCTGGATCCTGGAATCCCGTGTCTGCCTTCCAGCACCAGAGGGAGGAGACCCGTCACATTTCAGTCGGGTGGAAAGACATGCAGAGGAAGGCAAGGAGACAACAGAGGCAAGGTCCTCCCTCCTAAGACAGAAGTGACAGCATTTTCTGTTGCTGCTGCCATACGAAAATACCAGAGGCTGGGTATTTTATTAAGGAAAAAGTTTAGTTAGCTCACAGCTTTGAAGGCTGAAAGCACAGGTCATATGATTCCATAGGAATGCTGGGAATGCATGTGGACAAGATCCCATACAGAGTCAGGAAGCTACTGATTAAGAACTTTAGTCCCTAAGCGTGGGTCCTAATGACCTAATGACCTTCTATTAGGCTCCAGCTCTTAGAGGTCCCACTACCACACGACATGGACACATGGAGCTTCTAGCAGACACACCAACCTGGTTCTTCTAAGGAAGCAAATCGGATCATTTCATTCCCTGCTTGAATGCTCTGCCTGCTTTCCCATCACACACAGGACAGAGTTAGAATGAAGTTCTGTAAGATCTTTATGATCTGGTCACTGGCCAAAAAT